TGCCCTGGTTCATGGGTCGATGTTCAACCACTGAGCCATGCCGGCCGGGCTCTTTCTTCTTCCTCTTTTTTAAATATATTTTTATTGATTTCAGAGAGGAAAGGAGAGGGAGAGAGATAGAAACATCAATGATGAGAGAGAATCATTGATCGGCTGCCTCATGCTCAACCCACACGGGAGATGGAGCCTGCAACCTAGGCATGTGCCCTGACCGGGAATCGAACCATCGTGACCTCCTGGTTCCTGAGCCGATGCGCAACCACTGAGCCACGCCGGCCGGGCCAGAGAGGGCCAGAGGGAAACTAGTTTTCGTTCTCAGCCCTGGCCCCGCAGAGGGCAGAGCGAGGGGCCAGCAGGGAGGATGGGTTTTCATCAGCCACAGGAGACAGTTCCGAGGGAGAAGCACTGGCGGGAGGCGTGGCTGGAGAGGATCTGACCCAGAGGAGCTCAGAATATGCAAGGAGACCCAGGCATGCTTCCCCCCCCACCCCCACGCCACACTGGAACCCCCCCACAGACACCTTGTTTTTCTCTGAGTGGTCAGCGATGGTCTTCAGATGGCCCACGAGGAATTTCAGTGTCTCATAGTAGTGTCCTGGGAGGTCCCTGATCTGGGCAGAAGAGAGAAGAGGCATGGGACCAGGCTGTCATAGCCTCCCTGGTCCATCACGCCCCAAAGGGGCTCCCGCTGCCATACCTCAGGGGCTCCGGAATCCACCCTCTCACTGCCCCCCCACCCAACCCGGTAGAGATGGAGAAACTGAGGCCTTGAGTGGGGAAGGGCTTCCCAAGGTCACAGCGGGAGTTGGTGGCACTGGACTCCGGGCCTCCAGGGAATCGGTGCTCTCCCAGTCCAGTCTGCCTTTGGCCCGACAGCGTCTCTTTCCTTACCAGTTTCCGCAGCGTTTTCAATCGCTCCCTCGAGTCTTCAATGCGATTGGCTTCGATGAAGTCGTTGTATTTGTCTAGAACACACCAAAGACCCTTTAGAGAACGGGGAGCAGCTTCGGGCTGAAGGTCAGGCAGCCTGATCTGTTCCAGGTCCGAAGGCACTGTGGCCTTGCGCTCTCAGGACCAAACCCCACAGCCGTCCTCAGTGCACCTGACCGGGGTCGCCGGGGCGTGCACATCGGGAAGAACTCAGACCTGAGCTGAATGTCATGCTGGGAAAGGGGTCCCGGCACCGGTCTCCAGGACAAGGACACCACAAGGTCAGACGCGAAGGTGACTCAGAGGAAGGGGCCTTTCAGTCTCCACACACCCCACCCCACCCCACCCCACCCCACCGGTGTCAGGATCCCACGACTCCCTTCAGAGGTCCATGGGAAACTTCTAAAAAATGGAACGCGGTAAGTTTACTCTAAACTTCATCTGGATGAGTAAAGGCATGAGGAGAGTCTTTACTCGTTCTTTGACGGCAGAATGAGGAGGACGGAATTGCCCCACCGGATGCTGAAGCAAACGAGAGAGAGCGCAGCTAGAGCCGCGGGACCGGTGAGGGGAGCTGAACAAGGGTCGGCACAGGAAGGAGGAAAACAGGCCGCGTGGATCTTTCCTGTGTGGTAGGGTGGCCCTTTAAATCCGTGTGGAAGGAGGGAGGCGTCCGTAACGTCCCTGGGACGATTAGCTATATCAATGGGGCTGGGGGTGGGGGGTGGGGGTGTCTGGATCTAGCTCACATAATACACACTTAACTGCATTACAGAGCCAAATATAAAGCTGTTAAAATATTGGAAAAAATAAGAAAATAGTTACATCGTCATGAGGCCTTGTTAAACATGAGATGCAGAATCCATGAAAGATTAACAGCTTGGCCTGCACTTGAAACCACTGTCTCCAGGTTCTCTACTGCAAGCTCAAAGGCAAACGGCAGACCCAATATTTGCCAACACTGACAAAGGATCCATATCTACAATGTACAAGAGCTTGTCTCCTATAAACCAATATGAAAAAAGACAGACAATCCAAGAGAAAAATGGGCACCTAGTCTGAACAGGCAAATACAAAGGAAATAGAAAAGACCAATACACTAATGAAAAGGCAGTTAATCTCCTTAGTAATGAGGGAAATGAAAATGAAAACAATAATGAGATGCCATTTCCCCTACCCGATAAGCAAAAGTTTAAAATATTAATAACATCCAATGCTGGGGGGGCGCATAATGTCCAGTAGGGTGTGCGCTAGGGCCCACTCCTCAGAGTGCCACCTGACGTCAGCTTTCAGAAATGTTTACCAGGGAAGGGATTAAGATGTGCAAATTGCTAGTTATAAACACAGTCACAGGGGTGTAAATTATAGCACAGGGAACACAGTCAATAATATCGTAATAACCATGTAAGGTGTCAGGTGGGTACTAGACTTATCATAAGGTTTATAAATGTCTAATCACTAGGATGTACACCTGAAAGTAACATAATATTGTGTGTCAACTCTAATTAAAAAATAAAATGTATCTTTAAAAAAAATGTTTACCGGGGACGTGGACCTAGCAATTCCGCATCTAGAAATCTGCCCCTAGGACACGGATCCAGGTGTGTGTATGTGTGTGTGTGTGGGGGGGAGACATACCCCAGGAAAGTCATTGTAACATGTTCTGCGCAAAAATTTGAAGGCAACCGAAATATCCATCGATAGGGGAGCGACTAGACGAGTTATCGTCTATTCAGACTCTGAAATACGATGCGGTTGATTTAAAAGAAGAGGAAGAGCCCTTTGTGCTGACATGAATGAATCCCAAAATTACAAGCCTCCTTTTGTTAAGAACAACCCAACCAGTGGTGCGCTGGGCCCGCCCCCACGGCTCCAGTGAGCCTTCACCGCCCGACCAGTTCACCTCCTGCCCCACATTGCTGGCAGGGTATCTATCGGTGGCTTGAAATCTGCTCTGGTGGGAGTATT